GTTTGCTATTTAGGAATTAGATGCCTCTCATTAATAATTTATGAATGTGCATACATGTATTTGTTTAAATTTGTCATTTTAGGTTCCTAAGATGTTACTTGACATTGGCGACGATGATAATTCACCACAATCAAAAAGGAAAAGCGATGAGATGATTGACTTTGATGATCATAATGGAGAGCAGTCTACTTCTAAGAAAGCTGCTAATGGTGACATGAAGGCTTTGGCGAGTGAAGTAAAGATTTATCTGAAGCCTGTTAAGAAGGAGAAAGTTGTTGACTGAATTCTTCGTTTCTTTAACAATATGCATTCTCCTGCTTGCTTTGTTTTCTAGGATTTACTACAATATCTCATTGTTTAAGTTTCGGTTATTTTTTTCCTAGCCCGTAGGATTTGTCTTTTTCCGTTTACAGTTTTGCGGTGGTTTGTTATTTGAAGTTTAATAAAAGCAGGAATTTTAAACTATATTATATTTTGCAACTTAATTAGTAACTGCTGAATTTTAATTTATTAGTATAAATAACAAAGTAAAATACCTGCATGTACAGAAGGTTATGCCAAACTCAATCCTAATATGAAAAGAAATTCTGCATGGCAATTAAAATTTACAACATTCATGCAAGATATTTGGAGTCATTAATACTTTGGCAATACATATATTTTTCTAGCACTTACAAGTACAGTTGTATCCTAAAACAACTCTGTATTTAAATATAAAATTAGAAATATATTTATATTTTACAAAATTAGGAAAACGATCGTAACTACTATATTCTGTCGTATATAGATTCTAATTGGTGAATATTAACACAACCAATCATAATTAAAAGAACTTAAACTAATTCCTAAAGTTTCCATGTTTAGATAAATTCTCAATATATTTGTAATCTTAACAAATCTTTAGAATATTGTAACTATCCTATTAAGATGCATACTACTTTTAAATTATTAATATTAAATATATCCTACGCATATATCGATTCTCTACATTCTGACAAATCTGTAGAAAAATGAAAAAGAACAAAAATTCGTCTTCTGCAATGGATAAAGATCATGACATCTTAACCAAAAGACCTAAACTGGATTTCATTAACCCAGGTATAAAAGTTATGGTTCATTCGCTTATAAACTCAAATTTATACTCGGGTTTGTATATTCTTAAGAAAGTACAAAAAATTACTTAAGAATCCGATTTATAAATGTTCTATCTAAAAGTTCCACATATATTTTTGTATTATTTACAGAACACAATGGAGATATTCAAGTTACCCCTGCACGAGTACCATTACCAGTACCTATCTCAAATCCTGATGATTTCGAAAATAACGTTGGAGATATTATTAATATTCAGAACCCCCCGACCACTTCAAGTACTCGGAAAAGGAATCAATGTAGTTTGAGTACGTATTATATTTATTTCCTATGGGCCAAGATGAAACATCATTGAACAACTTATATTGCTCAACTATTTATGATTGTTTGGTAATTAGATAATAAATATGGACTGAAACATCGAATTTTTTATTATATACAGATGCCAATGGGGAGAATGAAGTTACCCCTAAACGAAAAGCATTGCCAGTTCCAATTTCAATTCCTGGTGTTTTCCGAAATATATTAGGAGATATCAGTCATACCCGAACTGGTCCCAGTGCTTCAAGTTATCCTAAAAGGAACCAACTTAGTCCAAGTACGTAGTTTATTTATTTTCATTGTAATCGATTTATTCATTGACAACTGCATTATCTTTAAATTTTGTTGTTCTCCTGTAACATCAGTAACAGGAAAAGAAAATTACACAGGTACACAAACAAGTATTTTTTTAACCCTTCTTCTTTATGTTTAGTGGTAACTTAATGAAACCTCTTTTATAACTAAATTATTTTCTTTATAATATCTAGCAAGTCTAGTCACTCCATGTTATGGCTCAAATCAATTTCTGCCAACTATACCAACAGCAAGTATTTGTGATAGTCGATATTCTACATCAGAATATTGCTATATCACATATAACCAAAATCCTGATACGACCAGAAGGAAAAAAACTCAATCAAGTAAGCTTATTTTTATATATTTAGTTTAATATTTTGTTTATTATTTTTAGAAATGTTAAATACTTATGACTACTTTGTTTCATATTCATTTTCAGGAAAATTAGATCAACCCATTGTTGGAAATCATGTTTTATCCGATAGAAACTTGACAGATGTCACAAGAAATCTCAAATTCAACGATGGACCTTCAAGTTCAAGAAATAAAAATCTAGAATTGAGTCATCCATCTAAAAGTTCTAGACCTGCACGTACGTTTATATTTTTTTCAATTCAATCTCTATTGTATCATTTAGGTTTTATATAATGAGTTTTTCATTTTTTGATTTACATCAACTAGCAAAACTAAGAGATGATCCATCAAGATACAACACAGTTGAAAAGATTGAGTATGCCCGTATCCTTAATAACTTAGTTGTTATATCCTGATTGTTTATATACCTGCTTAATTAAAGAGATTGCTCTATTACAATTGTGTCCTTCATATTATCAATTAATAGTTGTTTCGTTTTGGAACTCTGCTATGGAGAAAGCAATGCAACCATGTAATAAATCACCAAAAACTACTTCGCAATCAGGTATCATGTATTAAATATGTTCAGATCTTTGTTTATAATTATGATGTATATGACATAGAAATTATCTTTTATCTTATCTAACATTTTGATAAGTTGGTTTATGAAAATAGGCTCTGTTACTTCATCGACTTCTACTTTATCTAACAACCATGGAAAAAAATCAGTAAGGAAAAGGAAAGGTATAATCATGTATTAGTTGATAGGGTAATTTTTAAATACTTTAATTTCATTTTGGATGTATTTTAATTGTTAATATTGCTTTAATATTTGTATAGATACATCCAATGTTCTGTTGCCTCAATCACAAAGTAATAACATTACCAGTTCCATTTTTGAAAATCAAAGATTGTCAAGGATTAATAGGAGACAGGTTATCTTGAAAAAGAGACATGCAAACATTCAAGCTTCAGGTATATATATATTCATATTTCTTTCCACAATATTATTAATCGTGGTCGTGTATTGTAAGGTATTCTATTGTTTATCGTCATTATGATTAAAGTTTTCTATATTATTTACTTCCATAAACATTACTGTGTTGTTAGGATCTTCGACAATCTATGATCCAATTGGTTTACAATCTACACTATCATTGGAAGGTGTAGAAAGGAATTATACACCTGCCAATGATCATGGCGTCCCTGAATGTAGTACTGTTCAATCTCAATTAGATATTGGACCTGTAATTCAGCCTAATGGTAACGTAGTTGACTTTGGATGTATCAGCTTACTGTTTACTGAAATATAATAAATTATAATTCGTCATGTTATAGGGTACTACGATGATGGCGACCCTATTTATCATTGTACACACTGCTCTGCCCGTATGTGGTTTAACGAGAGGATCAGCAAGAAAAAAAAATTGAAAGCATACATTTTCACGCTTTGTTGTGTGCAAGGAAAAGTAAAGCTCCCAATGTTACAACAACCTCCTCCTCTACTGTTATATCTCTTCACAAGTGACGATGAGATTTGTCGTCATTTCCGTGAAAATATTAGAGCATATAACATGATGTTTTCTTTTACCTCTATAGAAGGCAAAATAAATCATGATATAAACAAAGGTAAAGGACCACAGGTTTTTCAGTTACATGGTGAAAACTACCATCTTATTGGTAGTTTGATGCCTAATGCAAATGAAAAACCCAAGTTCTTACAGCTTTATATTCACGATACAATTAATGAGATTCGTAATAGAGAACTTTCATTAAGGTACATAATTATTTATTCATTGTTTAATTCTGACTGTGTTTACGTAGACTAATTTTCACCATGTTTTAACATTTTTCATTTACAGCAAGAATGGTAAAATTGACAACAAGCTACGGCCTGAGCTAATTGAAGCTTTAATGAAGATGTTAAACCATTGCAATCCGTTGGTTAAAGCTTTTCGTTCTTACAAGGACAGGTACCAAAATTCAGATATTGAGGATACTGTCCGAATGGTTCTAATAGCCAAGAGAGACAAAGATGCTAGAACACACAACTTGCCAACTGCAACGGAAGTTGCTGCATTAATTCCTGGTGATTTTGAAGAAGGGTTAGACAATAGAGACATTATGTTAGAAGCAAATGATGGAAGTCTTCGAAGAATCAGTGAATTATACGTTGGTTATCTAGCTCTGCAATATCCTCTATTATTTCCTTATGCTGAAGATGGCTATCAAGTTGGTATTGAAGATGGTTTTTCACATAAAGAGGACAGAAAACGGAAGACTATCAGCATGAGAGAATATTATTCATATCGAATTCAGGATAGGTTGATGGAATCTCAGGCAATAATTCGGTCTAAACGACTATACCAGCAATTTTTGGTCGACGTATTTACAATGATTGAAGCTAATAGATTACGATACTTCAGGAACAACCAAGTCAAACTTAGTTCTGAGAAGTTTGTAAATTTAGTTGAAGCGCATAATGAAGGCCAAAGTGTCTATCCAATACTGGAAAACGTATTTTGATTCCTGCATCATTCACTGGTGGTTCTAGGTACATGAATAACAATTACTTGGATGCAATGGCTATTTGTAAATACTTCGGATTTCCGATTTATTTATCACTTTCACTTGCAATCCAAACTGGCCAGAGATTGTTAGGTATTGTCAGAAACGAAATCTCAAACCTGAAGACAGGCCTGATATTTGTTGTCGTATATTCAAGATGAAGCTGAAATCCCTAATGACAGATTTGACTGAAAAAAAGTTGTTTGGTGAAACTGTTTGTGGTATGTTTTAGTAAATCGAGTTTATGTCATTTCATATACTAATATCATATATTTTACGATACTGATTATGTATTATACTATTTTACAGGAATCTATACAATTGAATTTCAGAAGAGAGGACTTCCTCATGCTCATATTTTGATTTGGATGGCATCGAAATACAAATTTCCTACACCTGAATCAATAGATAAAGTAATATCAGCTGAGATTCCTAATAAAGAAACTGATCCTGAGTTATATGAAGTTGTGAAGCAGAACATGATACATGGTCCATGTGGTAATATAAATAAGAGTTCTCCATGCATGGTAAATGGACGGTGTTCCAAGATGTTTCCAAAGAAATACTGTGACCGGACTGTTGTTGATAACATTGGTTTTTCACATTACATGAGGAGACAAACTGATGATTTTGTTGAGAAAAATGGTATCAGACTTGATAACAGTTGGGTTGTTCCATATAACAGGAAGTTATCTTTGCGTTATAGAGCACATATCAATGTTGAGTGGTGTACACAAGCTAGGTCAATCAAGTATTTATTCAAATACATCCACAAAGGTCCTGATAGAGTTTTAGCTACTATCGAGAATAATGCCAAAGACATTGGTGAGTTTGCGAACGAGGATGGTGACGACGCATCTGAAGTTACTAAAGATGAGATTAGAGAGTATTTTGAATGCAGGTATTTATTGTTTCTCGAACTTACAATTATAAGTATTCAACACTTATATTGTCGTTTTCCTCATATGTTTAACTATCTATCATTTGCTTAATATATCAACAGATATGTATCTGCTTGCGAAGCATCTTGGCGTATACTTGCTTTTGCAATACATTATAGAAGTTTGCCTGTGGAAAAATTATATTTCCATCTTCCTGGAGAACAACCATGCGTGTATGGTGATGATGACCCGGTAGAAACAGTTCTTAATCGCAGATTAGTTCAGAGTTCAATGCTACTTGCTTTCTTTGAAGCTTGCGACAAATATCCTGAATTATCGAAGAATCTCACCTATGCCGAATTCCCAATAGTGTTTATATACGACAGAAAAGAGGTTGAGTGGAGGCCAAGACAAAAGGGTATGGCTATAGGGAGACTAACATATGTTCCTCTATCATGTGGTCAGCTTTACTATTTACGTGTATTGCTAAACAGGGTCCAATGTCCAACCAGTTTTGATTTTTTGAAAACGGTTGACAAAGTTTTATATCCTACATTCAAGGATGCATGTTATGCTTTGGGTTTGCTAGATGATGACACTGAATACATAGAAGCTTTGAAAGAAGCAAGCATTTGGGGATCCGGATCTTTCCTAAGGAAACTTTTTGCTGTTATGCTCATTACGGATAGTATTCTTAATCCATGTGGAGTTTGGAATGAGACTTGGCAACTTCTTTCAGATGATATCATATATCGACGAAGGAGATTAGAAAACAGAGAAGGTATTTTCCTTAAATATTTGGAACAAAATATATCTATGACATAACCATCATATTATATTTTATTAATTGTTTCCATCGTTTGTTGTAGATTTAACCCTTTCTGAAGACCAGCTCAAAAATTATACATTGGATGCAATTGAGATAATTATGCGTAGCAATGGAAGTTCTTTGGCTTATTTTGATGGTATGCCTCTTCCATCTGATGGTTATCATAATGCTTCCATTAATCGACTGTTATTCGATGAAAGGAATTATGATAAGGATGATATGTCTGCTCTTCATAATAAGATGCTTCCTGGTTTAACTGAAGAGCAGATGAAAGTATACTCAGAGATAATGGAAGCTGTTACATTAGACCAAGGTGGTGTTTTTTTCCTATATGGGTTTGGTGGAACAGGAAAAACACATTTATGGAAAATTTTGTCTGCTGCCATTCGTTCTAAAGGACAAATTGTATTAAACGTGGCCAGTAGTGGTATAGCTGCTCTTTTATTGCCTGGTGGAAGAACAGCTCATTCACGATTTGGAATTCCTTTAAATCCAGATGAGCTATCTACTTGCAATATGCATCCAGGATCAGATTTAGCTGCATTAGTCGCTGAGGCCTTATTAATCATTTGGGATGAAGCTCCTATGATGAGTAAATTTTGTTTTGAGAGTTTAGATCGGAGTATGCGTGATGTTATTCCTAGGCATAAAGATAAACCTTTTGGTGGAAAGGTTGTTTTCTTTGGTGGTGATTTCCGACAAGTCTTGCCTGTTATAACTGGTGGTGGAAGAGAAGATATCACAAGGGCATCTCTATGTTCTTCTTATCTATGGGACGAATGTAAAGTTTTGAAATTAACAAAAAACATGCGTTTATTGGCAGACATTGATGCAAGTATTGCAGAAGAAATCAAATCTTTTTCTGAATGGATTCTTCGGGTAGGCGATGGTAAGGTTAATCTACCAAATACAGGGGAAGTCATGATTGATATGCCCGAGGAACTTTTGATAACAGAGTGCAATGAGCCGATTAAGGCTATTGTTGAATCTGTTTATGGATTAGGATTTGAAGAACAAAACGATCCTAACTTTTTCCAGGAAAGAGCAATTTTATGTCCAACTAATGATGATGTATGCGCGATTAATGATTACATGATGTCTGCTCTTCGAGGTATAATCTATATACATAATCGTTATTTGTATTTTGTTGGCTTATTATATGTACTACTATGATTTTTAATAATAGCTTATTAACTGATCATTTTTGTAAACAGGTGAAGAGAGAGTTTATCTAAGTTCAGATTCTATAGATCCATCAGATACTTCCAATCATGACAGTAGTGTTTATACTCCAGACTTTTTGAATAACATAAAGATTTCTGGTTTACCTAATCATTGTATAAAGTTGAGGGTCGGAGCACCTGTCATATTGCTAAGAAATATTGATCCCAATAGTGGGTTATGCAATGGAACCAGGCTTCAAGTGACTCAACTAGCTGATCACATCATTGAAGCAATTGTGTTAACAGGGCATACACTCGGTCAGAAAGTCTATATACCTAGATTGTCTGTTTCACCTCCTGAAGGCAAATTCCCTTTCAGAATGAGACGGAGACAATTCCCATTGATGGTCTCATTTGCTATGACCATCAATAAAAGTCAGGGACAAACACTCTCAAGTGTTGGTTTATATTTGCCTAGACCTGTTTTTTCACATGGTCAGTTGTATGTTGCTCTATCCAGAGTTAAGTCTAAAGCAGGGCTAAAGGTTCTCATTGTTGACAAAGAAGGCAATCCACAGAAACAGACCATGAATGTTGTCTTCAAAGAAATATTTCAGAAGCTTATCAAGTAGAACTATTTGGTAAGTTACTATTTTTTATATTCTTTATATATTTGATTTATATATGATGAATTGTTACTAATTGGAAGGAAAATTTATTTTCAGGAAAATTTATATAAAACTCTTCCTTGGAGCGAATAATCATTCCACATTTTTTACCATTTAAGTTTTTATAGCTATGCAAAACAATTGTAATTCGTATACAATGATATTTTTTGTTATATATTTGTTCGAAATCATTGAAATGGCTTTTTATGTATTACATGATCAAATTATTCAGCACTTAGTGATTTTATATATATACTGAATGAAAGAAGTTGTATGAGATTTTAAATAAAAAATTATATGAATGTTTGTATAGATACTAAATGATTGATATAGTAGCCATACATATATATGATCTTTGTTATTATAGTTTCCGAGATTAGTACATGACTATAAGATATATGACCATGTATTTAATTTAATCAAGATTTGCGAATATTTGGTTGATTCATAATCTTTCTGTTACCTAATATATTTCTTATTTAAACACCATACTATAGAATAGTTTAATTTAACCGACAATTACAAAAAACATCATATATGAAAAACACATTATGGTAAACAAATATTTACGTAAATATATGTATGAATCAACTGAAGATATTTTTTATGGAAATATTTGTATGAATGTACTCGCCTAAATACTTAAATGTATTTTTGTGGGAATATATGTATGATTTTATGTTTAGATATATTTTATATCCTTATTCACTATGAAAAACATATTTCACTATATTCAATACATCTCATAATAATTAGTTTGACTAATATGAGTTTGCCTAAATATATTCAATTTCAGAAAAGCTGCATACTTAGCAGAAAGAGTTCAGTTGATTGACCGATGCATATACCCTTTTCCAAAATGAATGAATCTTTCAATAAAGTAAATTGTATTACCGTATTGGTTACTTAATCGGTTTCCAATCCCTTTAACGTGTAGGGTTTTATTTTAAGAATTTAATTATTATATATCCTGTCAAATAGCAATAGATCCTTATCGTCCAACTTTTGTAACATCCATTTTATTAAATTGCTTTCCTCTCTTTCAAACAGAAATCTACACACTAGGGTAATGGCTTCTTATGACCACATCAACGATTTGCATCTCGATAGAACAAATTGGAGCCTCCGTGTTAAGGTACTGAAGAAATGGATCGATCAAGGAACTCCTAATCGTGATTTGTTACAGATGATGCTCATGGACGAAGAGGTTTGTTAACTATAATAATTCCTAATTTATTATATTGGTTATTTTGGAACATAACTTTTTTCTATACAGGGTGATATGGTTCTAGCATATCTGTATCATGCCGGTTTGATTAAGTTATATGATAGAGAAATTAACGAGGGTGATTGGAAGACTATCAAAGATTTTGTGGTCTTTGAAGACCCATTACCAGAACCAAATTCTCCAATCGGTTGGTCTATACAGTTATTGGAAAATACGACTATAACTGATACTGAACCAAGGGAAGTGGAATCTGGAAAGGGCTTCTATTCTTTCTCCGAAATTCTTAAAGGCGAAGCCGATTCTGAATTCCCTGTTGGTAAACATTCTAACTTTATATTCAAATTCAATATTTATTGAGATAGGTGTATAATATTTAGGTTGATAAGAACTGATTAGGTCCTTATATATATATGTATACATATCTTTTGGGTTTTGTTATTAGTAATGAAGAACTAAAGGTTATAAAAGATCAAACTTGCCCAAATAGGCCTAACAAAATGACTCCTTCTATTACTTTCACAATGAAGGATCACAAGTAAGCATTGCTCATTATGTTGTTTTTTATAGTTTAAGTTTTTCTAAAAGGGTAATTATATACTTCATATATTTCGTGTAGTGATATGCAGATTCAGTGCAATGCCGTAGGACAATTAGCTGTTGATTTCAATAACAAAATATGGGATGTTAGACAAATTCCTGCTTTGTGTCTTCTAACTGATTGGAGTATCAAAAATGATGGAGGTTTGTGTTATAGTATAACTCTTTATATCTTTTTTTATAAATATGGTGACATGTTTTTAAAATACACGTGTTTATTTACAGGTAATATATATCTCAAAAGCAGAGGTGGAATAACAAGATTTGAATTTCACCCTGAGTTAGAAGTAGCGGAATCCTTTTGTAAAATGTAATAATTTTTATTTTGTGAATCTTACTTTTTCACTAATTTGTTTACATAAATCATAACTATTTTTATATCTGTCATTTGTCTAACTAGGTTTTGGAATAATGAGAAGAAATCAAACAAGTCAAAAGGAGCAATGAAGAATGATGCCGAAGCTACATCATCATCGAAGAAGCAGAAGAAATGAAATATTGATTATTTTTTTAACTTTCCTGTGGGATGATAAATAAGATACATTATGTTCTTATCTTTTGTTAAGTTTAAATATTTGGACATTATATTTTGCTTTATCTATATAAATTGTCTGCTTATTAGTATTATAAAATTTCTCTCATAATACATACATCGCATAGTATTGATATGTATATATATGTTTGAAATTTGCATTATGAGATAGGTAATATATATATTCAGTTGTTTCGAAAAATTATTTCATATGAAAATATAAACATAGTTTAGTTTTCTTATTTTATTTCCTTATATTTTTCCATATTGTCTCTTAAATATGTGAATTAATTGTATATACTCATTATTTTAATCAGTAAACAGAATATGACTATATGATACAAATATTACAAGTTACTATTCATTCAATGATTATCATTGCAATGTTGAATTCTGTTTTTGCGATGCACTTGATCTGATACATGTCCTTATAACCTCCTTACTAAAATATCATAATTGCATAAAACAATTTTATATCCAACTATCAAATCTGAACAAACCATTCCATCCATAGACATTGATAATATTGGAAATAATTTTATCTTTGAAGTTCAATAAAAGATTTTCAACGTTATTATCAGTATATTCATTATTTAGAGAATCTATGTTCATGTAAATCTATTCCCTAAATAACTTTGACTTGATATATACCAACTTCCTACTTCCCTATATTATATCGTCTATCAATGCATACATTGTCTTTGTAAATATAAAAAAATCAGAAACAGTTACTCTCATATTAATAACTGCTTCCTCATATCTATATACCAAATATTCTCAACCGTTGCAACTCTCCAAAAATGTTTTAACTTTCCAAAAAATAACAACCATCGCATCTGTTCAATGATTTTTCTATATATACTACATTTTCTCTACTAAACGTTTATCTTTCCATTCATACATCTAGAAAAAACCCTACTCTCTTCTGTCTTCCAAAAACTCCATCTTTTACCCAAAAAAGAAGAATCTAATGGGTGAGTACGCAGGTGTTAACGAACTTCATGCATGGAGGGATGATTGGATCATTAAGGTCAAGGTTTACAAGCGCTGGTCAGTTAAAGACGACGCAGGCTTACCGGCAATGAACTTCATATTTGTTGACGAGAATGTACGTTACATATTTGTAATTACTTATCCATTGTTTGATTGATATGTTTACATAGTTTTATTAATATTTCTGTATACTATTTCAGGGTAACAGGATCAATGGATTTGCTACAAACAGAGCACTATCCTATTTTGAATATGTCTGTACCGAAGGAAGATGGGTGAGGCTAACTAATTTTCGGATAGCCAATTCTGAATGGGAAATGAAGGGAAGGACTACAAACCACAGTCACCAAATTATCCTGACACACGAGGCAAAGGCTGGAACTCTCAGGCCACAGACAGAAGATCCATTCATCAACTTGGTTGAATTCAGTGCTATCTACCGAAAACCATTTGCGCAGTACTATCTAGTTGGTATGTTATGATTACAAACTATATTTTTCATTGCATGTTCTGTTTACTTAATTAGGTTTTGTTAGACATACAAAACCTTTTATGCTTTAAGATTTTGTTTTAAGTAACTGAAATATCTGATTATATATTTAGATTTGATGGGAAGTCTTGAAAATATTGGCGAGGTCTACACCCAGTGTTTTCCAGATGGAGAAACAAAGCGAGTTCTTGAGTTCACACTTAAGGATGCAGAGTATGATAATAGTTTAATCTTTTTAAAAAAATTTGTTATTGTTTTTTTTTCACCCTTTGTTTGTAATCAACTTAGGGATTATTCCTTCCAATGCTTTGCATATGGTGACTTTGCTGTGGACATCAAAGAACGATGTAAATGATTCACAGGTCCCTTGGCTATTTGTGTTTTAACTGACTGGACAGTTAAAAAGAATATCGGTATGTAAATATTTCTATTAGATTATTTTATCAAATTTTAAGTAATTTGGACATAGATGCAATTTCTCATATGATTTATGTTAATTTAGATGAACTGACTATCCATGAACATGAAAACACTGGCTTCTCTCGCTTCTTACTTGCTCCACCCATCGATCAAGTTTATAAGTTCAGGAACAAGTAAGCATTCAAATATATTTCCTTTTACGTTACTAAAAATCGAACTTTCTATAATTAAGTCGTCATTCATATTTTGCAGGATTACCAAAAAAATGATGACTGCATCTTCAACTCAAGGAACTTGCGCAACTAAAGTCGACTAGAGATGAATCATCATCTGTTGCGTTTAACTATTTTTATTTTCTAAGTCTATGGTGTGATGTTGAACTTTTATATTTCTGTTAAAACTTTAAACTTATCGTATGTTTTGTTATGGATCCTTTGGATATTTGACTGTCTAATTTCTATTTATTAAGGACGTATTTTAATTATCGAATTTCTGTTTATTCTGTTATTTAGAACTTTGTGGTAGTTTAGATAATATAAAATTATGAAAGTTATCTAAATGTTTTTTAAAAAAAATGGTTAGCTAAAAACCAAGGAAATAAGATTGTAAAATAGAACCTCAGTTTTTATCTCCGATTTATTAAGTATATTCTGTAAATATACCTGATTACTCTTTCTAATAACTTTCATGTTTAATTATAATAGACATTAGTTATCTCTACAATATCTGAAACAGCTTTAATATACTAAAAAAAATATATATCGAATAAATTTAAGCATATTCAACTAAAAACTATGCTCAAACCAAATAAATTACAAATTACATTAATACAACTTCAACAGTAAAATAACTACAACAAAATTCTATGAATAAATTATATAGTGTTACATCTTCGCCTCTGATAGCTTCTGCAAATAGCAACAATGATTCCCACAATTGAAAGATAAAGCTAAAACTTCGAGAAGACCATTATTCTCTATCACATCACTAGATTTTCGATGTCATCTATGCTTCACTCTGTTATTCTATTTTTTCCCTCCGAATATATTAGTTCTGTCTTTCTTTTCATCATACACTTCAATTTATTTTGGTCTTTTTTCTTATAATAATTAGCGCAATATATATATTTATGAATGAAATTAGAAATCGGTTAAATTCATTCATTACTGTATATTACAAAAAGGAAAACTATTAAAAACAAAAAAATACAAAACAAATCAATAAATAGTTAGTCACATATATCAAGTCCATTTATCATATATCAATATAGTACTAACATAAATAAACACTTAATATAAATTCTGTTTCAAATACAACAAAATGCGCAATTAATCAAATATCATTCAACATCCTGTATACATACATTATAGTATGTTATGATTTCGGTATAAAAGATAACATTCATCCCGTGCACAGCACGGGTACTATCCTAGTAAAAAAATATATGAAGAAGACGTATTTGAAAAATTTATTGCAGTTAAATGTGTTTTAAGAAATAACAGTCTGTTTGGCTATAGAAATAATAAGAGAATTAAAATTAAACGAATTAATAATGTAGCTAAATACCAACTTTAATCCTAAAACTGCCAAGTGTCCAATACTGCCTCCACTCTAATATATTGGAGATTTTATGCAATTGATGAGGAAATGGTCATTCTCCAACGTAGTCCAATACTCCAATGCCCCTCTTTCCAAACATTTTTTCTTTAATTTTTTACGGTACCAATTAATTATACTTTCCAGTCATTCACGTATGCTATTTTATTTATTTCCCACTTTTCTAACTAATTTTCTTTGTTATTTATTTCAGTTGATTTGTTATTCTTTAGTGCTAACAGAACTAAAATTTCTCTCAATTTCAGTCTTTCCTTGTTTATATAGTTAATTTTTCAGTCAACCGAGTGGAAGTGCTCTCAGATATATTTTTTTTTGTTTTAGTTTTGTCAAGTTTCTTACTCGACTTATATTCTTCTTCTTATCTTATATTTCCCAATATCTCCGTGAGATCTGCTTTGATATTTTCCTATTCTAATAGGAGACAAAAAAACGATTGTGAATAATATAATGAGACTGCGGCACGTAAATCATGCCAGTGATGCCTTCAAGTCTTTTTAAAACAGTTGGATTAATTTTATAACCCTCGTCAAGTTTGAAAGTTCATATCTAGTAAAGTATTAAAAAGGCCAATGACTAAAAGACAAAAAAAAAAGTTTTGTAAAACCACATCGAATTGAATCATCAATGAAGATGTGTCCTGAGTTCAAAAACAAATATAAAATTTGGTCTTCCACACACATAAAAAAAAAACCAAAGAAAGATAATCAATAGACAAAAAACTTAAGAGAAGGAGTTCACATCATATTCGTGATGTAAACAAAGAAAAAAAAAACCCTAGGAATTAAAGATAAGGAACCTAAACATTAGCAACTCGCACTTGTGGTTCATTTATAAACTTCCAGTAAGCTCGTGTATCTTCAGATACCTTTTTAAATGCTGAGGCTAGACACATTGTGTAAAGAGGTGCAATGAAAGCTGCTACGACCCATAACGAAGAAGGTAAACCGAACCATAGAGCCACACGTGGCGAAATTGAATAGAGCAGGTGGAGGAGAATCCCCAAGCCGCAGATGTGACCGATGCGTCCGGTCATGTACAGATTAGAAGCTTCGACATCGGTGATTGCTTGGAACCAAAACAAGCAACTAAATAGGCCGAAGCTGAAATATAGCCCAGTGCAATAAACCAAAGTTATGATACATGCGGTGAAGGGGATCTTGTGTTGTATCATATAGATGATCGCTGCAACGTTAAGGGTTACGAGGATGATGCTCATCACAAAGTCGTACTGTAGGTTCTTATTCGACCTGCATTAACCAATTAAAAGTATTTTTATATGTTAGTCATGATGAGAATCAAATTTATTAATTTAGCAATGAAAGAGTAAGAAAATTCGAGATTGTTCTCACAGCCAAGTACGGAGACGGCTTGGAGATTCTTGGACCACCACACTTGTACTCGGCTTGGCTTCTTCAACAATCTGTTGGTAACCCATGACATAGAAGAAGAAAACTCTCTGCAAACAATGTGTAGCACCTTCGTTAACCCCTATATATATATATATCAAGCCTGATTCTTATCGTGAGTCCAATTCCAAAGCCAAAGTGGGATGGGAATACGAAAAAAAAGGAAATTAGATTTTGCTTAAAATACAAAAGCTTTATATTTTCAAAAGATAAAATAAAATAAAATAAAATACAAATTAAAGCCTTTTCCTTTTGGGCAAATGTTTTGATATTTACTGTTTTTTCTAGTATTAAAAAATCTGGCAAAACTTATCCTTAAAAATTTTTATGTATTCATTAAAATTTACAATTACACGATACTAGAAGTTTCTCTTGAGTAAAGGAACAGGGCAATGTAAAATCTCTTATCCTAAGCATAATAAGCTGCATGTTCTTGTAGATGTCTCCTAGCGGGAGTTGAACATTGTGACTCAGACGACTGAATCAGTATTTGCTTTGTTACAATTGCAGTCACCAAGAAGAATTCAAAACAAATAGATGATTACCAATCAAAACCAGTGCTCATAAATTTTATAAACCCTGTACAATAATCTAATTTTGTAGATATATTATGCATAATATTGCAAAAATTCCTTAATGTTTTCAAAAGGGCCCTAAACTCTTTACTAAAATTTGCTAAAAAAACTATTTATATCCAGTGCAAATGCACCTTTGGCACCAAATTATTTTGACCACCTGTTTATAACATGTTTCATATAAACTGATTTTGTTTTAAAGCCCATATACAGTAGTTGGGTAGTATAATCCGGCCCAATAAGAAGACCCGAACTACTGGAAACCGATCAAAACCCTAATTATATCTTCTCCTTGCAGAGTATAAATACCAATTGTTTTTCGTTACCCCCATTTTACTCTTTCTCTGTGTAGCCTCTCTCCGAAGAAGAAGAAACCCTAATAGACATAAACCATGGCTGAGGGACTCGTGTTGAAAGGCACAATGTGCGCCCACACCGATATGGTCACCGCCATAGCCACACCGATCGACAATTCCGACATTATCGTCACTTCGTCGCGCGATAAGTCAATCATCCTCTGGAAACTCACCAAGGAAGACAAGTCTTACGGTGTTGCTCAGCGCAGGCTAACCGGTCACTCTCACTTCGTCGAGGACGTTGTTCTCTCCTCCGATGGACAATTCGCTCTCTCCGGAAGCTGGGACGGCGAGCTTCGTCTCTGGGATCTCGCCACCGGAGTCTCCACTCGCCGATTCGTTGGACACTCGAAAGACGTTCTCTCCGTGGCTTTCTCCGCTGATAACCGTCAGATCGTTTCGGCCTCTCGTGACCGCACGATCAAGCTCTGGAACACGCTTGGAGAATGTAAATACACGATCTCCGATCAAGGTGATGGTCACAAGGAATGGGTAAGCTGTGTGAGGTTTAGCCCTAACATGCTCGTGCCAACTATTGTATCCGCGTCTTGGGATCACACAGTGAAGGTCTGGAATCTCCAGAATTGTAAGCTTAAGAACACTCTCGCTGGGCATTCTGGTTACTTGAACACAGTGGCAGTGTCACCGGACGGTTCTCTATGTGCCAGTGGTGGGAAAGACGGTGTGATCTTGCTTTGGGATTTGGCTGAAGGGAAGAAGCTTTACTCTCTTGAGGCTGGCTCTGTTATTCACTCTCTCTGCTTCAGCCCCAACAGATACTGGTTGTGTGCAGCGACAGAGAGCAGCATTAGGATCTGGGATCTTGAGAGCAAGAGTGTTGTTGAGGATTTGAAGGTTGATCTCAAGGCTGAGGCTGAGAAGTCTGACGGTTCTGCTGGAACCGGAAACAAGACGAAGGTATATTACTACTCTCTTTATTTCCCTTGTATTTTTGTAATGATTGATTCCAAGTTTTGCCATTGTTAAATTACATATTGCTCTTAGTTCTGTGTGTAGTTAACAATTTGATTTTATTGATGTGGAGTGTATATACTTCCGGTGAGGAAGCATAGTTAAGCTTAGATTCGGAAACCTATCCTTGTTTAAGTTAGCTCTTGTCTCTCAGTTCTTAATATTGCAATGTCTGAAGTGGTTACAGTTACTATTTATTTGGTGACTCTGATTTCAAAGTTTCTGGTTTGAGATTTTTTGATTATGGCTATTTATATGTTCTAATGTGAAATGGAAAATGCAGGTGATCTACTGCACGAGTTTGAACTGGAGTGCAGATGGAAACACATTGTTCAGTGGATACACTGATGGAGTTATCAGGGTTTGGGGTATTGGTCGTTACTAGAGTGAGAAGATGACTGGAATCAATTCCCAAAAATTTTATTTAATCTCTCCAACTTTTCCATGAAACACAAATGACTTCTCTTCTGTATTAGTGTTTTGAGATTGATTTTTTTTTTCTCATTCCAGAATCAACAAACGTGATATTTGATCCATTGATTATCTTTTTCATGTTTGGTATATTTTACACACTTTGAGTTGAACAACTTAGAAAATCTCAATTTGATAAAGATAGTGTAGTGAAGCTTCGAAGTTGGTGCTTATCTTACTCTCTCTGGCTGACTTTAGATTGATAAAGAACACATGCCATTTCAGATTTCAGATTCCAACATGAAACCCTCAGATTACAAAACTCTTAACTCCCTTCTATTTGTTTACTTTTTGGATTTTAAATTGTGCTCAAGTCTCAAGAGATAAAAAAAACGAAAAAGTAAAGATTGAGATCAAATGGTACCAAAATTAAAGATTGTCTAAAGAGTTGGCGCCACAAAAATATATAGATAGGGATGATGACTTAAGACCGTATTAGCAGAGCTTGTTGTCGAACTTGAGATTAATGCCCATACTGAATAGTTCTTGAACCAGAAGCTTAGCTAGCGCCACACGAACCACATCATCTGTTGACTGGCACAATTTGCAGTACGGTCCTCTGATCTTATTACCGTAACTAGCTGTCCTCTCTATCTTATTTGCTACGTTCTGGCACCTCCTGCAGACGTGCATCTATGAGGATTCACTGAGAGTGAAGAAGACGTTCATGCAAGTTAGACGAAGCCCCATGTGCTATGAGGCAATATCACGCTCCATCTTTCCGAATTTGAGTCCGCCAAAACGTTTTTTTTTTTGTCAGCGACTGGTTGTCTGGTGAGCGGATGGACTGGTCCTGCGTTCCTGAACTTGAATCTGTCCTCTGCCATGTGAACAAGTCGCTGGTAAAACGTCGGTCCCATGAATACTAGAGAAAGCATCACCTCGCCTGTTCTACCGTTGTACACCTTCTCATTTCCCCATTTGGAAAACCCAGCCTTGCCACAACATTTACAAGTTCAAGTTTATAACAGTCACTATGTTATGTTTAATGTTTCAGGTTCATAACCACTCAACATGGAAACACTGTGCAGTGAAATGCTGTTCTGTATTCGTTCATATATCTTAACTTATACTAGATTCTAACCCCGTGCATTCGTATGGGAATATTTTTTATTGTTTAACGAATTTTTTAATATAATTTGTGTTTTTGAGTTTAGATATAATAATTTTTATAAATATATTTTTTAATAAGTGAAAATATTGATTTTTGTGTTTAAATATATTTTTATAGTATTAAAATTAATTATGATTATAAAAATATAATTTTAACCCGTCCGCTAATATTAATTTAAAATGAACTATTATAAAAACATAATTCTAACTTTTTCGTTCATACTACCACATAATATAAATATTTGTTAAAAGTTTGAGATGTATTAACAGTATTATTTAATATTATAGTTTTCTAAAATTTAATCAACGAAGGGAGTGTACAACTGGTTTTTCAAACCATATTATAGTGTATGCAATAATTTTTAATTTTTTATGTTTTTATTTTGTATGAAAAATATATTTTCGATATATATGTATAATTCAGAATTAGTGATTTTAGTTACCAAAATATTTTTAACCCGGTTTTTATATATATTTTTAGTTCTATAAATTTTAAAAAATATATTTTTAATATTTAAATTATACATTTAAATTTTACTTATTATTTTATTATTAATTTGTAAATAAATCATAATCGTAAATATATTATATAAGCAACATAAAAATTATATCATTTTACATCATTATAAATATTTTATATTTCAAATATGACCATTATTTTTCATATGTGAATTATGTTTTTTTCAAAAATTCTAGATATTTTTGATTAAAATGTTTAATAGTATAGAAATTATTTAAATTAGAATCTTTAAATCAAATCTAAATTAATATCTGATTTATTATTTTTAATCAAATCAAATCAAATCTAAATTACTTATATTTAAGGAATTCTAAAAATATTTAAATTAATAACTAATTTTCGAAATTAAATATAAATAATTATTAAAATTATTTTTAAACACTTAAAAAAAATTAGGAGTGTTTGGAAGCAAGTACTAAATGTGTTTCTGTTTTAATATAATAGATTCTACACCCAATACCCAAGTCTAAGTAAACGTATAAGAGCATCTCCAATGGTTTCTTCATTTTTTTCTTCATTTTTGAAGTTTCTTCATTTTTGAAGGAAAAAATGAAGAAACCATTGGATCAACTTTTCTTCATTTTTTTATTCAAAAAGAATATTTTAGGTATATTCTATCTCTCTATGTTATTACTAATTGTTAATAAGATCCTTCAATTTTCTGTTTTATAAGTTTTCACCTACTTATTTTATTTATTGTAAAATTTCAACAAAAATTTAATAATTTTAATGGATGTATAAATAGTTTCTCAGATTATTAAGTTGTTAGTTTATGTTATGTTAAGTTTTATTATTTATAATTTAGTATTAGATATGTATTTTTAATTTTGTAGTTGGCTATGTTCTTGTATTTCTTAATTAATATATGTTATTGTATTTTTTATTGTGCTTATTATATTTTTAGTTTATAATTTGATTGGACAAATCCATAGTTTTAAAAAAAATTAGGTACAAAAAACATATAAATGTTTAGGTATAAAACAAAACATATAAAAAGTTAAAGTTACATTTTGTAATAAAAAAGTTCACCTTTAAAAAATGAAGAAATGAACAGTGTTCCTTCAAATTCATTTCTTCATTTTGAAGATGAAATTGAAGCACCATTGGAAAAGACTTCTTCATTTTTATCTTCAAAATGAAGAAAAAAGTAAAATTTGAAGGACCATTGGAGATGGTCTCAAGATCTTAGGGATCCACACGCTAGGACTATATGTTCATACGATATTATGCCTGTTTTTGTAGTCCGAATAAACTTGAGTGTGATTAATTATGACAAAGCAGCCTCCAAAAGCTGGCCTGGTGTTTGCCTAGATGTGGATTTATTACAATATCAGGGACTATTCCTTGGCTTGTGAAAGGAAAATTATCTTGTGCCTCTAGGTAGCCTACAACACCTTTCTGGCCATGCATACTGGAGAATTTGTCTCCAAGGCATGGAGAACGAACATGCAAGATGACAAAAACTAATAGTGGAACATCAGATTACTAAAAGAATAGATCATCCCTCGCTCCATTGAGGCCTTGTTCATCACAATGGAGTCCTCTTGGTTATACCCAAGATGTACACTCACCGCAACTATCGCATTCACCGCAAAATCTGAGTGCTAACAAGTCCCAGGAGAGACATGTTCTTCACTAGACCACAATTTTCTCCGTCTGGAGTTGACAAAAAAACACACTCTCCCCCAATGAGAACGATGCCTGTGAAAAACCATTACAAGATTTCAGATGAGTTCTGATATGCACCCAATATAACTTCCAAACACAATTTCATTTTCCCACCAGCTTTTATTCAACATTAACCAGAAAATTTAGTCAGCATCTGAAAAAAAAAACTACTAGGAGAGTGACTGTAAGAAAGAAAAAGTATCAATGTCCAGAGACTCCAGAGTCCAGACTACTTCAAACGGTAATGATTATGTGAATTCAAATCTGAAATAAATAGACCTAGGACAGCACAGAACACATGTGATCACGACCATAAACTATATGAAATAAGTTAGTACAATTATCTGATACAACAAACTGAAGACGTGCAAAATGGTGTAAGTGCAGTCTATAGATCAAAATATTACTATTATATGTGGGAAGTTTACTTACGGATATCTAGCGTCTCCAACCTTGCTCGTATACTGGACTTGTTGCCGCGTTCTCCTCAAGTCAATCAAAGTCTGCAATGGAATTTTGCTACAACTCCTGAAACCCATTTCATCGGTCTGAATTCTGAAAGGATAAGACCACGCTCCAGTGGAGAAGGCTCTAGTAAGCCCATTGGTGATTATGGAAGCATCCAAATAATGTTCGATTGGCTTTAAATCACCGTCGCCTACGAGGTGTCTCTGCATGGCCACTGGTCATGGCTCTTCTAGCATGTGCTACATGCACCCTGATCAGCTCTCTCTCTAATAGTTCTCCTGCTAGCTCAACCCTGAAACTGTCTCTGTTCTCACAATTTGACTTCCTAAAGTATGCACACAGAAGGCACTTCACCTTATAAACCAAGAAACATGCTTCCCGTTTTGGACCTTGGAGGCCAGGAAACAAATGAAGACGTAAGCACTCATCAACATCTTCTTCAGATGGAAATCCTGAGCTTCTTATCTGACTCGCAACATATTTTAAAGAGTTTGTCCCATCACGAAATGCTTCACATGCTCCATCAGCGTCATGGATAGAGGCAAAAAGAATATTGATTGTGCTTGCATCATCACCATCAAAATCAATAAGATCAATCGCTTCTTTGTCTAAAGAGACACCCAAGGCAAAGAACAGGATCCAAACTGGGATTTCAGTCGACAAGAAGTACACTGTCAGTGCTTTATCTCTTTTCTTTGACGCTTCTGATTTATGATACTCTCCAATACGCACAATAAGTCTTTTTCTCTTAGTTTCCAACCTGTATGAGACTCTCCAAGCAGGTGTATTAGAAACCCAGAGTCTTTTCGTGATATATTCTCTTGAGCAATAAAGACCTGTAACAACACAATGTATTCATCTTCAGAGAATACAGAATATAATAACTTCAAGGCAACTATACAGAATGTTGACCACAATAAGAGAAACAACTTCACGGTGTCTTTTCCAGGATATAATAAAAGCATAAACTAGATTCATTGCCAAAAAGGATAATCTCGTTAGTGGAGACAGTTCAAGCAGCAAGTGAAATACATAGATTAGGATACAGGTGCTGAGAAATTGTTTGAAATAAAAATTACATAACAGCACATATGCAAGAAATGCCAAACTGATGTAACTCACCTTTTTAGCCCTTCTGATCACGAAATATCCACCCTCATCAAAGGCACAATTCCCCTTTTTATTTTTTTTTCCCCTTTCTGGCAAAGATCAGATTTCAACATAACAGGTATCCTACCAATTAGAATGTCCTGCGTCTTGTCATCTAAAACCTTCTTCTCGACAAATTCTTCTTGCCCGATTTTGAATTTGTCGCTTCTGACAACTTTTT